TAACATTATCAGACAAAGATCTTCTCATAGGATAACGGTTCTAGTTAAGAGGTGAACTTAGATCCCAAATATTTTTGACTAGGAACATCTGGGGTTGACTCTCTCTCTGCTTCCGCTATGAACATATTTTGGCATGGGAAGGCGAGGAACCGATGTAGTCAAATAGCAACATCCATAAGCGCTATATATAAGAACGCGACTCAGAAGGTACAGACGTTGGAGTAACAGTTTGAGGATTCGGAGAGCCGAGTTCGAATTCCAGTAGAATCATTATATTCACTTACGTGCTTGGGAAAGGTATGAATCCTATTTTTCTCCACCCATCTATGGGTAAATAACAGAACAGACCGGGTTCTGTAGTCTTGGATAGCAACTGGTCTACCGCAGGAAGAAATGACAACCTACTGCGGGAAAAAAAATCTGCCTCGTCAGTCATGTATCAAAAGATACATGTTCGCCTAAGTGTATATCATGCATATATCATGCCATTATGAAGTCTGTTATGATACATGTTATGCCTAAGTGTATATCATGCCATTATGAAGTCAGTCAGTTACGTAACTGACTGACTTCATAATGGCATTTAGAGAACCAACCAAAAACCACTACACCGTTCAGATCCCATTCACAAAATGGCAATACTGTAGTCCCGATATTATACGGCTGCTCAGAGGATAGTTTCCATGGTAGTTATTCCAAGATATTAGTGAGATGTAAGTTCCACTTGAGCAGCATCTATTCATAACCGACTCCCAAGAAGGTCCTTCTCTGATCACTACAATCTTAACCGGTTCAAGTTTAGGGTTAACCGTTATCTTCTCCACGTATCCCCACAAACTTTGCCTCTTACTTAGTAACTCTCTACCTCGAGTGGCTCTTGGGCTTTGTACATTGTGAACATTATTGTTAGAAAAAAGTTTCGTAGCTTTGATTCGAATTCGGTTCATTGACTTTTCTGTATTGTTAACCATCAGCATTTCTCACCACAATGGCACTAGTTGCATAGTCCACAATTCTGCTCTTTTGTATAAACACACCAAGAAAATGAAATAAAATCTTTCTCCTTACAAAATATATCGGGTGGAGTCAGGATTTCATTTTATACATTCCAACATTGCACAATATAAAAAAAAAAAAAAAATGAAAAGCCAAAAATCAGTGCATTCATTTTGAGTAGAGCTACAATTTGATTGGCTACAAACTGGTGTAGTAAAAAGGAAATCATCGCTGTTAGTCGTTCGGTCATAATGGCTGCCAATTCACCGCCTGTTTTCATATAATGCGCTAATTATCTATCCTAAAAATGAGAAAAACGAACGAACTTTATTAATGTTTGGCTAGCATTTTCTTCAACTAATTTCTGCGTTTCATCATAAATTTCTGGGTCGAATAATCTCCGGCCTTGAAAATAACTAGAATGAAGATAGGATAAACAAGCATTTCTTAATACAGCAGTTCACCTTTTATAGACCGTAGACCTTGTCTCATGTTAGACTTGCCTGGCTGAAATGGTTATGGCGTGTCCGAAAGAAGCATATGCAATATGAGTAAATATTTAATCGAAAACTCCATATTTATTCCACTTTAACAGCGGAGAGAATTTGATCTGGAAATTGAGATAAGAAAATCTGTTCACACAAACCTGCATATATATATATATATATATATATATATATATATATATATATATATATATATATATAGCTGGCCACTCGTATTCAAGGATATTAGGGCGGCTAGCCAATCCCCATTGCAAATGCTTGCTCAGGCAAGTTTCTGTGAAAGAGCGTGTTATCTACCGTGATCAACAATCTGATCAAGACCAGAACGCTCAAACCCTCGTCACGATGATTTGTGACTTCGTGCTAGCCCCCAAGGGTACCGTCTACCCCATTTCACTTACAAGGCTTGGGTTGGTATGGTTTTCAGGCACTTGGCACAGCACCATAAAATCAGGAAGTCATGTCATTTGAACCCAACGGTCTCATGGTCAGAAAGCGAACGTTCTAAACAATCGGCCTATTTTACATATATATACCTCCCATATATATATATATATATATATCATTCGGGGGATTTTACCACTAAGCCGTTGGCCCACGGCAGGGGTGAAGTTGAATTTAATTTTTAGATAAACACACAGTGACTGAGAGAACTCGATTTGATTTACCGAAGGTTCATGCATTATTAGCCGTAATAGTCATTGTTCACGAACCCGCACTTGCTCCTCAGAGAGCTCAACCGAAATATATATATATATATATATATATATATATATATATATAACAAATATATGGATATAAATCCGACAGTATGAAGAAAATATATACGGAAAAAAATATATAAGGATTTTTGTTTGTTTTTTCCGTATATTTTTTTCATATATATATATATATATATATATATATAGGTAAAATGTTTGTCAGTGAGGTGATTGATCTACTCGTCATGGGTCATCAGCTATAGACTGCTCATACTTATCGATTTTTAATGGTATATATATATATATATATATATATATATATATATATATATATATATATATATTATAAACTGTTACATTAGAACATGCAAGTTACAGCGACAAAAATGCGTATTTGTTTTGACGTTCAAAGACATCTTGTCAGGCGGCTAACACTGTTGGTAATAAACGATTTTATTTAAAAATACAATTTATGAAACATCACTTCTTTTTGCTTTTCTGAAAATCTTTCATGGAAGGCAAAGAAACAAATATATATATATATATATATATATATATATATATATATAAATTTATTCATTCCATAAAAGGAAAAGAGAAAAAAAAGCAAATTAAAGTAAAAAAGGAAAGAAAATATGAAATCAATAGAAAGAAAAAGGAGAAAAAAAAGGAAAGGCATAAGAAATCAATTCTACTACAAAGAGAAGAGAAAGAAAAGAAAGGAAAAAGAAGGAGAGGCGTTTATCTTAATTTTGTAGATACAAATGAAAAGGAAAGAAATGAAAATAAGATATGAGAAGTTGTTGATACAAGTTTTAGCCAATGAAGACACGTTAAGATGGAAAATTTAAAATTGAACGGAAATATAACACAAGATTTGAAACATATTACAGATACAATAGAGTAATTCAAACGTTATGTCATTTTGAATGAAATCACATATTCAAACAAATTAAATATAGTACGTACATAAAATACACTTTAAGAAGAAAAACCATATACAAACCACTAAATCAATTAGTATCCACCTCCATTAAATCAATTAGGTCGTACTAATTTGGTACATAAGTTTCTTAATTCAATTGATAAACATATAAAAGTAAGTAAGATTTTCAATCGGATTACTCTAAAACTTAGCTATAGTTGTACTAATAATCTAAAGAACATAATTAAATCGCATAACAATTGCACACTGAAATCATATAACAATAATAACTGTAATGTTAGTACTGATTCTAATTTGTCTCGTATAACTAACCTATGTAATTGCAGAAATTATGACCAATGTCCTTTATCTAACAAGTGATTAACGAAACGCCTTGAGTATATGTGCTCTATTTCATCAATTGAAAATCCTAAGAGTGTTAAAATATATATTGGGAGCACAATGAATACCTTTTAAAAAACCTACAGCGAGGAATCAGACAGAGATCGGCTAATAATATGATTTCCACCAGAAAATAAACCGTCCACAAAAATATTTGTCGGTGAGTAACTCCCGTTTCTCTGTTTAGTTCTCGGTTCGTTGATGAAGGACACAGGTGTGTCCGAACATTCCAAACGTAAAAGCTTTCTTTCCGTGCTTCTTTTCTGTCATATGGTTAATAATTAATAAATGTTTAGTGTACTGATTATATTGGTACCCTTTCGTATGTCCTTGTTTTGTTAACTAAGCTTATCTATTTTACATATTATATGAAGCACACGTGGACCTTTTCTTCTAATTATATATATATATATATCCGCCAGGTATATAAATAGCGGTGTCAGGCTACTGACTGCAGTGACTATTGAGTGGAACTATCCAGTCGAATTAGTGTGAATTATTGTGCGTCGATGATTTGAGTTTTGATTTAGTATTAACCGGGCGTTATGCCGAGCGGCGCTACTAACAAGGTATTCACTGAAATGCTTAATTATCTTTGCTTGAATTTTTACTTCTTTGTTCTTGTTAAGTATTTATTTGCGGTTGTAATTAAATACTGTTTTATCTTAACATTGACGTCTTGAGTTATACTTAATCATTAACGGCCAACGTACATAACAAAAGCATGCAACCAAGTTTTCCTCTTGAGCAACACCCACGACTCGACAGAGATACACATGTTAGGAATCTAACTGCACAAAAGATAACCTTTTCCATTACTGACAAACTCGTAAATCTTTGCAGGAAACAAGAGAAGGAAAACTTAGAAAGTTGACATTTTCATGATTTTAATACCAACATGTCAATTTCTGTTTCGATAAAGAATAACCATTTTGATAAGGGATAAAAATAAAATTAAATCTCTTAAATGTATGCGTCTACGTGATTGTGCTTATTTCTACGACAATTGTACTTTGTACAATATGCAAGGTGTATGCTGCACTCCCTGATAATATCCTCTCACCCACTCTTTTTACAGATTTCGAAATGGTCATTTAAAAGAAGTTTCTTACAAGATTATAGCATTTTCTTTTGAAGTTCGACGAATCGTAATTTATCAAAGGTTTGATTGAATAAGTAAAAATCTATTGAAACTGTTGTATTGATCACAGTTCATACATATCAATTGATCTTTCACGAAATGACTCTCTATAAATATACAGTGTGCGATGGATAAATTGTCGTCTAAACGCCAAAAATTAAAAATAACACTGACATCTCATTTTGACAGATATACAGGGTGCAATGGATAAATTGTTGTCTAAATGACGCCAAAAATGAAAAAAACACTGACATCTCATTTCGACAGATATACAGGGTGCGATGAATAAATTTCTTTCTTTCTTTCTTTCTTTCTTTCTTTTTCTCGACTTACGGCCATATCACGTTGAAACCCCGGTTCCCGTATGATCCCTGAAGTTAAGCAACGTCGAGACTGGACAGTACGTAGATGGGTGACCGCTTGAAATATCAGGTGCTGTAAGCTTAGGTGTGCGGGCGGTGTAATGGAAAATGGCTCAGAAATGTTAATTGGAGAACCGAGCACCAATTCCTGTTGCGTTCGTTATATCCATAATAACGATTTTAGAGATACAAATCTTACTAATTAACCCATAGTTAGGGGGGAGAAGAGTTGCATTCTCAAGGGAATTATGCGTGTAATATAACGAAACCAAATGGAATTGGAAGTCGGAGACCGAGCTCCAATTCCGCACCATTATCTGGTATTCCCAACTTGTCAACTGAAATATCTGGAACCAATGAGGATGATGATGATGATGATAGTATTGTTTATGATGATGATGATGGTAGTGTTGTTGATGATGATGACAATAATGGTATTTATGATAGTGTTGGTGATAATGATGATGATGCTGTTTATGATGATTATGATGATGATGATGGTGCAGGATCCGATGATGATGATGGTGGTGGGGTTTATGATGATGATTATGATGATAGAGGAGTTGTGATGAGGATAATGATGATAGTGGTATTGGTGATGATGATGATAATAATAGTAGTGGTGTTTATGATAGGAGGATGCTCTTGATGATATGGTGGTGTTTACGATGGAGATAGAGAAGATCATAATGATGATGGTGGTGTTGGTGATACTGATTATGGTGCTTGTGATAGCGATGGTGGTGGTGTTGTTATGATGATGATTGTGGTGTTTATGATGATGATGGTGTTGGTGTTGTTGGTGACGATGAGGGTTATGATGATTATAATGATGATGGAAGCAGTTCATTAGGAAGAGCTTAAAACAATTTGCGAGCTCAGTTGTCTAATATATTTCAGCCATTTCTGATACATCGCTCCTCCTTTTTCATCATTACTTTCTCCTTCCCCGGACTTATAAGCCTCTGCACAATTTCCGAGTCAGTATAATGATGAGCATCTTTATTCATATTCATTTGCAACATTATCTTCATTCACTCCAGATGCAAGATCACAATTGCACAAACTTCCTACAGATACGCCATTATCATTTTTGTTCTCCTATATATGTTTTTTTTTTTTTTTTATAATCCGTGTCACCCCATGAAAGGTAGTAAAGTCACTACGACACAAGTTGTTACAGGGTGTCGAAGAATTAGGAACAGAGACATTATTAATGAGCGGGAGAGCGATGAAAGGAACGTTGAGTCTAACCAGTATGTAAATGGGTATTCGCTTTGGAATACCAGGTGCCAGAAGCTTGGATGTGCGGGTGGTGCAATGGATAAAGGTTCGGAATTGGAAATCAGAAAGCTAAGTTCCAATTTCAGTCGGGTGCGTTATATTCAATTACTCGCAATAAAAAAAATAAAATAAAATAAACCTTTGGAAAAGTGCATCTCGTCTCCCCCAAGCTAAGGGTTAATTAGTTAGATTTGTATCAGTAAATCATTATTATTATTATAATATATTATTTCCAAAATATCCTTACACTCATTTTTTAATCGGTATTTAAGGTAGTAAAGCCACTAAGACACAAGTTGTTACAGGGTGTGAAAGAATTAGGAACAGAGACATTAATAATGAGCGGAAAAGCGACGAAAGAAACAGTTTTGAGCGGGAAGATAAAAGAATAATCAGGATAGCGATTGACATTGTATTTAATTTTTTTACAGATTAAAGTTGGCTGGAAAGCATGGAGCCGGAAGGGAGTTCCTCAAACGAGGAGTGCGAGATAAGAAACTCTTAGCATAGAACTTACGGTTACATCTAACCGACTTAGCTCTAAATTAACGAGAAGTCGTTACTAGTCTAGTACCGCGCTTAAATTCATAAAGTCCATAGTACCATAGCGAAGGGCTTATCTAAATAGTTGCCATAGAAGTATTTATAGAAAAGGCACAGAGAAGCAACCATACGACGGTGGGAAAGTGATTGAAGGCGAACAGCAAGATCAGGACCAATAATATTGCTGATTCTTCTTTGATTTTATCAAGAATCTCTAAATAAATAGCAGAGGCATCAGACCGGGTGTGACGGCAATATTCAATCGATGGTCAAAGGGTAGACCTATAAATGTGTGAGAAATTGTCTTATCAAGGAACTGAAGGTAGATAGCCACCGGCTCATATATAGCAGCAATATTTTAAGCATGGACGAATGGTAGATTTATAGATATGTAAGGTGGATTCTGGAGAGAAAAATTGTCTAGATCGATACAGTGCACGAATTTTCTTAACATCTGACCTAGCAATGGATTCAATGTAGTCCTTCCGCCATATATCAGCCGGAAATTTTAACCAGAGAAATCATAACGAGCCACTCTCCTGAAGGTTAGTATCAGCCATGCTGATGGAAGGTATAAAGGAGTCTTTCAAATGATTAATGGAGAGCAGTTTCGTTTTGGAGGTGTTAAAAGTAACAAGCCATTCTTTGCCCCAGTTAACAGAAGACTGAAGGTCGTTTATGACTTCAGAAGCTAATTTATGGAAATTGTAATATGTTTGTTCTTCTCACAATGTGAAGCACTCGCTGTATCGAGAGAGGGAAGCCTGTGGGTCATGACGAGGACCATACTTCTTCAAAGCTTTTGGTACTACAGAATCACAAATAACTTTCTCCGCAAATTGCTAACAAATCAAAACATCAACAAAAACATGAAATGAAAAGCTATTAAAAGAAAAAAAAAATCTTAATCTATGAACTGGTGTTAGCCTCCAGGCAAGTAACTCTTTGAGATTTCTTGGGCTCAAGTTTGCCATTGACAAGAAGTGGAATAATTATATTGAATTAATTGCTAGATCTGCTGCCAGGAAACTTGATTCACTGTGTCGTGTTTAGACAATTTGTCACGTCGAAATCCATCTTGCACATTTATAAATTTGGAATTCTTCCATGCATTGAATATTGCTATCATATTTCTTCTGGTTCTCTTACTATATATCCCAAGATTCTTGACTAAATTCAGAAATGTCTGTAATGGAATCAACCCTGACCTGGCATCTCAATTTCAGTTGCTTTCATACCAACTTTGTCTTTTCTATAAATATTTTCATAGCAATTGTTCTGAGGAACTTTCCTCCTTGGTGATTCGACTGCATTCTAGTAGTACGCTTAAATTAAGCGTACTACTAGATTGGCAGTTAGGTCTCATCGTTTTATTGTTGAAATAACTAGATACAACCGTAAGTTCTATTCTAATAGTTCCTTTTCTTGCAATTATCGCCAGTAGAATTATTTCCGGTTTCTTGTTTCCCTATCGCTCACAATCTTTAAAAATTTAAATGCAACGCCAATCGTCAGTTTCTGCCTTTCCTGTTCTTTTATTGTCTTTTCTCCTCACTAAAGACTTTCTCCGTTGCTTCTTAGTGACATTATCGCCTTGCTTGGTAGCTAAATGTAGATAAAGACTATTTACACTATATACATTATTTGGACTCTTATCCTCATCTTTATTCTTATATTCACGACGTTTCGGTAATTGTACGCTTCGGCCTTACTCAGGTAATATATGTTGGAATTTCGAACCAAACTCTTTATTTAGTTCAATGGGGGAGATTGCTGTAGCTCCACGCGCCATGCATTTTCTGAATATCTTAGTTTCAGTTATTTCCATTTAGTAACTCAACAAGTTTTTCTTCACCTCTGCTGAGTATTGAACCCACAAATCTTTGGGTCAAATCACTGGATTACTTCAACAAACGTTTTTATCTACTGGGCCATGTACCCTTGGGGACGTATCTCACCTTAGTTACAACAGTTCATCTCAGAAATCTAGACAGATGTAAATAAAGTTTTTGGCTATAAGTATTGGTAAGACTAAGTGAATCAAGAAAAGATAGCAAGACAAAACGGATGATTACAGGAAGAATGCTGTCTATAAATGTTGGTAGATATAATGACGAACGCCAAAAACCGTGGGCGAGAATCTGTGTATGTGGTGAAATCAACTAAAGTGTGGACTGAAAGAAAAAAAGAGTAGGAAAATAATTAATTGGCAAATGATGAGGAAACGACAAGACATTTAACGCCTGTGATGCAGGATTGGTGAAGTTGCATACAAAACAATCTCTGGAAACAATCTCATCGTGTCTAAACGTCATCAAAGCAGAACAATAATTTTGATTCGTAGCAGAATCAGAAATAAACAGTTTAATGACTGAAAAGTTTTAAAATTACACACGTATTCTGAAAAGATTCCACTCGACCCATTTTCAAAATATGAGCCTTAATTTTATATCTGTAACTAAAGAGTGCTTTTTATATTGCCAATAAACAAATTGGAAGGGAATACTGCTATTTTGAAAGCTGTTTCATGTCAGGTAAACAACATGTCAACGGTAAGTGTGGAATTTTCAATTGATGAAATCCAGGTCGACATAAAATTCGTGTTCATATGAAAAAATATCTTTAAGAAATCAATGAATGTTTTATGTAAACAGGTTAAAAGTGTCCGTTATATTCGACTCTAAAGGACTGTAAAGCAGTGTTTCTTAAACGTTTGAAAGTCAGGGCGCACTTAAAATCTTACCATTAATTATGGGGGCACTATATACAAATTTCGGAAAAATATGTTATAATGAAGTCAAATATTGCAGAAAAGAAATAATGCAATAAAAATATATATATAAAATGAAACACCTTAAGTTTATTAATTCGTGTGTTTATGAGAAACATGAGCCTGATGAGTCTTAGCAATTTCTTCAATGTTTGGGTGTATATTTGATAGGCAAACTCTCATTTCCACCTCAATACATTGAAGAGTTCCTCTTTTTTTTGCAATTGTGGTGAGAGCAGAAAAGCCTAATTTTCATATGAACGAGAGGGGTGCTGCAATATAATAAAATAAATATATTTATTTCTTATATCTGGACACATATTTCTCTGGAATTCCAGGGTGCACCTAGACATCTTGCAGTGCGCCCAGGAGCATCATTTGAGAACCACTAACGTAAAAAATTGGTAAGACAACTTCCAGCTTGGTAATCTTACGGTCATATCACGTCAAAATACCGGTGCTCGTACAATCACCGAAGTTAAG